CACGGCCTTCCGATCGTGAGTCGGGCGCACTACCACCGCGGCCAATTCCACAATAAAGAATTATATGATGGAGTAGGTTTTAGGCGTTTAGTAGATTCAAGGGACACACACTATTAGCCGGCTGATATATCAGACAGGATTGGGGCGTTGGTGGAGACTATTCACTCGGCTACCACCAGATTTTCTGGGGGTAAAGTTCAATTCAATAAGGAGGAGCAGACTGCAGTGAGCGGCAGTTTTCAACAAATTGTTGTGATGAGTAGACGAATGAGTAAAAAAATAACGGAACTGGGAACAAGAGAGGTGTTGGTATCGAAAAGAATGAAAGAACTTGAATCTAGATTGAAAATATATGAAACTGAGAGAGAGAATGACAGAATTAACAATAAGGTTAGAAGGCATGGTAGGGTGGATGAATGAAATGGGGAAAGAATGGAGAGCGATGAAACAGACACTAGACGAGGTTAATGGGCATTTGAAAAAAGGTAGATCAAGTGACTTGCAAGGACAACGTAGGCAGGTTGAACATGTTGTGGTGGACCCTCCGCCATCTGGTGCCTCGGGAATGTTCACCGACGGGACTGAAGGGCACACTACCGATGGAGAGGCTGACATGGACACGAATGGGGGGTTTCCAAGTGGTAGATAATAGGAAAGGGAAAAAGAGAGGAAGAACAGGAGTAAGCGCACATACACGACCGAGCTTGGGAGGGAGAGGAAAAGCAAACCTAGGCCAGGGTGGAAGACCCTCCCCCCTTTAGAGGAGGAGATCATTGTGGTCAAAGCGAATCAGAAGGACAAAAATCCAGCTGCGAGAAATGTTAGCGAGCGACTCCTGAACGGGGGTTGCATGAGTTATGTGGAGACTATTAACCGCAACCGATCTGGGGTGGTGGTAGTGAAAGGAAAGAGTGAAGAGGCACGACAAAAGATACGAGACGTGCTCCCAAACGATAGTAGAGTGAATGTGAAAGAGGGTCACAAGCCTAATCCCCACGTCCTACTCACTGGAGTGGAGAGAGAATATGGGGATCAGGAACTGATCCGACTACTGCTTGAACAGAACCCAACACTTAGTGAAGGTCTCACACAGGAGGGAATGAGAGGGATGCTTGTGGGTAAAAGGAAGGAATGTTGAGTAAATACCTGGAAAGAGAATATTGTTCTAGAAGTGAGTGCGACGCTCTTCCGGAGATTGATGAGCTTGGGAGTGGTGAATCTGGATCTAACCGGTAAACATGTTGAGGAGCATAGTAGTGTGGGTGTGTGCTACAGGTGTGTCACTATGGGCACACAGCGAAAGCGTGTAGGCAGGATCCGGCCTGCAACAATGTGGGGGGCAACATGAGGAGAAAGATTGTAGAGGTGGTCGTGGGCTCAATTGCGTCAACTGCAAAAGAGATGGTGTGAATGGGAGTGAAAGGAGGCACTCGGTATTGGACCCCAAGTGCCCAGCATATATGAGAAGGATCGAACTACAGCTGAGGTGAACAAATTACGTTCAGGGTACTCCAAATTTATGTGGGTAAGGGTAAAGAGGCCACCATACTACTGCCGAAGACCGCTGAAGAGTGCGACGCCACAGTAGTGTGTATACAAGAGCCGTGGATAAGAGAACCAGCATGGGAGGGTTGGAACAAATATGATGGAGGAGAAGGAACGAAGGTTCGAACCTGGATTCGATCCTCCGTTAGTAGTTTGGCCCTAAAGAATGTGAGAAGTGCGAATGGAATCGGTATATTAGTAGTAAACGAAAGGAGTGGTATTAAAAGTATGAATGTGTATGACGAACCGAGTGGAAGGAGAAATGTAAGAATGAACGAAATCCGTGAGATTTTTGATGAATGGGAAGGAAGGAAGATTCTGGTAGGAGATTTGAATGCGAAAAATGTTGCCAGGGGTGGCAACATTACAGATGAAAGGGGTGAGGACATACTGGATTGGGTAACTGAAAAAGGTTACCTGATAGAGAATGACTGCGAGAGTCCGGCAACTTTCTCCAGCAACAGAGGAGAGATCTGAGTCGACCAGATCATTAGTGAGAGAGCACAGGTGGATGGGTGGAAAGTAAGTGACCACAGGATGATTGAGTTCTGCTTAACGGGGCTACCAAAGGTGAGAAAAGTCATGGTGATGAATATTAGAGGAGCCAACTGGACTGGCATGGAACGGAATTTGTCGAACTACAGTCAAGGGAGGCTCAGTATGATAGAAGAGATAGAGAGAGAGGTGGCTATGCTGCAAGAAAGAGAACAATAGGGAATGCCAGGATGTTATGGTTTAGGGAGAGGGTAGAACAAATCCAGGATAAAACTTCGTGGGATCGAGTCTACCGTCTCCTCAATGATGATAGAACCAGGGAAATCTCCTCTAATGTCGAGAAGGATGATGGATCCTATACCAAGAGAAAGGAAGAAACCAGTAGGTATCTGCTGGGAAGGTACTTCCCTAAGATCGACCGCTTGAGCGATACTCCGGTGAGGCGTAGAATAAGGGGGAATGAGCAGGGAAAATGGAGTGAGGATCAGCCGCCCTTCACGACTAGGGAGCTACGCGCGGTAACCAAGCATTCATCCAAGTATTAAGAAGATACTAGATTTGTTCCAAATCCCACGCGGAACCCGTGTTTCAACGTCAAATTAAAATTATAAATAATGGAGATAGAGTTTCGTGCGTCGGGACTTTTTTTATCGGAAATTTCCTCCTCTTTAACGAGCTGTTTTCAAAATTGCTTGAATATTGATATTTTTTGAGTTATTAACGGAAAACTGAATACAATTTTTTTCAAATCTTATTTTGTTAATGAGAATTGCAATTTTTTACCTGCACCAAAATCCTTCAAAAACATTTTTATAGAGGCGATTTTGAATCGAATGCGCTATCGCTCATATTTTTAGGACGATCATCTTCATTTTTCATGTTTTTGAACTTGTTGATTAGACTATGCGGTAAGTAACCGTTGAACTACGACGTGTCTACATTTTGAGGCAACGTGTGCTGCTGACCACCAGCAAGACACTGCCTTGATGGGATACATATACTAGTGGCTGCTAGAAAGTAACTAGTGAGGCGAGTGAAAAATATTGCAGGAAATCTGGCCTACTCCAAAAATCTAGCCTTAGTGCAGTTCTAAGCTTTCTGCAGTCTGAGTTCAACCACGGATGACTTTTGAAGAACCCCTGTGGATTCGAAGTACTTTGCAGATTCAGGTTCGGATGGACTGAATACTTATAAGTGGAAAAAACTATCGAGTATGTACCGCCATATAGTCAGAATTTTCGAGTCACCGATCTGAACAATTTCAGGCAATTTTCATTCATTCCATGGCGGCTCTCCAAAGCGTGTTGAGCGACATGTGCTGCGTGCTCTTTGAAACGGATTTCAATGATTCGTTAAGTCGAGCCGAAATGTTTTTGTCGTAGTCCTCACAGCTTATTTCATATTCCTAATCTTGACTTTCTATTGTCCAACATCTTGTTTTTAGGGAAACCTAACATTTGTTGAAGCGAGCAAGAAGTTTTGGCGGCTATTCTCACGTTTAACTTTTTGAAAATGCAATCTCATCCCCGTCAGTATATCTTGGACAATACACTTCAAATATCGTTGATTTCAGCTATATTCCTAATAACATTTTTCTCAATATTGTGCCTTTCTTTACTCAAGAGAACGTAACAAACTGATTCAGACCTGCCATTTCATGTGAACTATCAGGAATATATCTGAAAATAATAGTATTCTTCCTGGAGACATCAAATTCTAGACCCTGGTTACAAAGCACCAAGACATCCATATGTAAACTTAAAAACCAAACCGAAGTATCAAGGTCTTCGACGTTTCGAAAACGCGTAGATTCAAAGTTCATTGTTCTTTTAACGGATTAGAAATTTTTATTGAAAGTTGAATGGAAAGTAACCTTCAAAACTTGCTCACTTCAACAAGTGTTAGGTAACACAGAATACAAGATGCTGGAAAATGAAATGTCGAGGATATATGAAATAAGCTGTGGGGACTATGATAAAAAGTATATCGGCTAGGTTATCTTTGAGATGGGTGCCACGATTGATCACATTCGACCATAAGCGCAATGCTTCAAAGAAGTGTTTGTACGATGTTTAGTTGCAATCCGAACGAATTTTCCAACTGTGAACAAAAAATTGATTCATCACAATGCATCAGAGACCAAGGTACAATCAAAACAGTGGTTACCGCAGGTTGATCGTGCAACAATTAAAGTCAACATATTAATGACCACAGTTTTTCAAGATGTATGCAGTATCATTCACAATGATAAAACGATCCCCAGCAAATATCATTCAAAACTTTTAGACATATTCGTTATTAATATGAGGCAAAAACGACCATATTCGGCCAGAAAAAAAATGTTTCAATTATAAAATGCACGGATACGCACATCTGCCGTCACTAAGGCGAACATCTCTAAATTGAACTATAGACTGATACCCTATTCAGTATATATTCCGGATCTAGGTCTTTGTGACTATTTCTGTTCTCAAATGTGAAAAAATAGCTAGCTATTTTTTTGGTCGAATGAAAAAGTAATCACCCAAACGCCTGCTTTCAAGAAACTTATTATTTGAAAGGAATTCATTGGTAAAACACTGGAATATATGTATCGGGCTGAAATGAGGTTATGTTGAGGAATGAAAGGTTTATTTGTCAAAAAATTCTCTCCACCTACTGAACTAAAGGCTAAATTTGTGTTTGGGATTATTCTTGGCAAAACACATGCAGAGAAAATCTTAAGTGTGGAGAAAGTGTTTGTGTGGAATTAATAAATTTGTATAAATTCATCCGAAACTGAAGCACTTCTTAATGAACTGTCAAATATTAAATTTAATTAGCTCCCAAGTTTCAGAGATTACTATGTGGATAAATATTCTGAATGAATGTGTTTATCATACATAAATCAGATAGGTGAAAAACATGGAAAAGTACATCAATTGTAACATGTAGGTGATTTTAAAGATATATTTTCATAGGTAACTACCTCATTTACCATAAATACATTGGCAAACTGCGCATTGGGCATAGAAACAAAAAGTGGAAATGATATATTTACCGAAATGACCAAGAAACATTTCTATCCGACTGACTGCGGGGGTATTTTGAGATTTACTTTGATGAACAGATTTCCTGAACTTTGTGGAAAATTAGGTGAGTACAAATATCAATACAATAAATTATTTTTTCCGAACTTTTCGAACTTGTATTTTCAAAGTTTCAATTCTCATTTTTCATGATGATTTCCTACCACGTAGTACCGGCTACATCAATCAATTCAGTGATGCCCTCACAATTGAAGGCAAATCGCATCCTTTCGCCAGAATTGTTTTTCATCTACTGATCACCAGCATCCCACACAGCACTAGATATTCTTGGAATATTCCCTGTATATCATAAAACGAACGTATATATTCCAAATATTCATAGAATATTCTTGGAATATATACATACCTTTAGAATATTCATAGAATATGCTTGAATGAATATGGCAGGATTATTCCCGAAAGAATGTGCATAGAATGTCTATAAATGGATTATTCTCCCTTGAATATTCTAAGAATATTGTCGATCGAATATACCATATGGTATATTCTTAGAATATATCCCCACGGTATATTTTGGAATATTCTATACAATGGAATTTTGAATTATCTT